TGCAGCACAGTGGGAAGCAAATGCAACTGATATTTCACTGTTCCTATACTGACATGAAGTATCCAGGGAAAGGTTCTTGCTCCTTCTTTTTTTGCTAATGAGAATTTTTCTCCCACCAATGAGAAGAGACTTCCTCTCTATAGCTAGATTTCTTATTTTATCAGGAAAATCTTTAATAACTGGTGAAGAATCCTATATAAAATGAAATCATGGGCAGTCACCTTTTTAAATGTATATTAAGAGGCTCTGTTGTCACAAACTAGGTACGCTTTTATAGAGAAATGACCCTAATCTGCTATCTGCTGGGCGGGTCGAGTGATCTATTTTTAAAATCCAATTAATCACTTTTGTCAAATGATTCCCAACTTCTTACCAGTGAAAAGATGTTCATTCTATAAATCCTGTTAATTTATTCATTTACTCCAGAAGCAGCCTTTTATGCCACTTTATTTTAGAAGACGGACTCTATTTAATAGTAAAGATGGGCCTCCCTGGCGGTGCAAGGGGTTAAGTCTCAACACTATGAAGCTGTCTGCAGCCACTGTAGAACAAGTTTGATCTCCAGCCTGGGAGCTAACCTACCCAGGGTAGCAGACCTCTCCTGTCTCCCCTGTCGATCCCCTTCAGCAGTGTATTTCAGTCAATCAGCCCGTTCTGCTCCCTACTCTGTCTCTGGTGAATCCTCATACCCCGCACCTCCCTTCCCCCCAACTCTGGCCTACACCCCAGCTCTTCTATGCATAAGTAAATAAATTTTTTTTTATTTTTTTGAATTTTCCTTGTTTTTTTTTATACACAATGTATATAAAGACATTTATGCACAAATGTATTTACATTTGCAGAAAATACTATGCCTCAGACATCTTAATATTTTTTAAATATAAAATTATCCACGCCATTTGCAATAGAATTATGATAACCTTGTTTGTCCTTTTCTTGGAGACAAACAAGAAAAGGTGACTCCCAGGATGTCCTCATCCAACTTCTTAGTGGCGGGAACAGCTCTCCAGCCTATGTGTGTGGCTTAGGTGGTCAGTGCTGCTGCCTGCAAGAGCAACGACTGCACTCTGAGCTGGTGGGCAGCACAGACAGGCCCCCCACTCCTAACCCCTGTTCTTGTCACTGGTGCAGCCTGGACTCACTGCTGTGCAATATACACCCAGATCACAATAAGAAGCAACACTTTTGGACTATCCCCTGAGAGACATGGAAGCTATCTCGTCCATTACCTTTGCTAGAAATCTCTTCTGGCAGCAGGCTAGACAAACAGTCAGCTCTGTATCTGGACCGTAAGCTTTTGGACTCCATGGAACTGTTTTGACCAAATTACCCATGGCCTTCACTGAAGGACATTATGAACAAGAAGCCTGTTGAAACTTCTCACTGTATTTACTGTACTTAAGTTGCTAATTACATTGCACTTAACTAATTACATTGCATATCGTTCTGGGTGGTCCCACAGGAAATTTTCTTTTGAGTACTAGAGTCAAGAATGAATGGACTTTTTGATATTATAACATTTTGAAACATGAATTTGCTTTCTTTATTGAATGGACTGCCAGAAACTGAGAGTGAAAATTTATGTTTATCTTTAACAAGTTATAGGGAAGACAGAAAACGCTAAGATAAGAAAACTCAGGACTAATAATATAAGACAAAATCTAAATCACTATTAGTAATGAAAGAGATGTTAATATTACTACTCAGGATATATTTGTCTTCTATTTTTGGGAAAAAAGTGATTTCAGGAAGATATAAGATAAACATTAAAAATAATTGTGAAATATAATGTATTAAAAATATTCTGGGGCCCTCCCTGGTAATGCAGCGGGTTAAAGCGCAGCACTGAGAAGCTTAAGCCATTTGCGCCATGAGTTCGATCCCCCCCTGCCCCAGAGGAGATCCACATGGCGTGGCAGACCTCTCCTGACCCCGCCCGCTGCTCCCCTCAGCAGTGTACTTCATTGATCTGCCTGTTCTGCTCCCCACTCTGTCCCTGGTGAATCCTCTCACCTTCCGCATCTCTGGCCTGTACCCCAGTTCTGTATGAATAAATAAATAAATCTTTAAAAAATATATTCTGGAAGTTGTAAATAATCTTTTCATCCTATTCACACTTAGCATGATCAAGTAAAGAATATCCAAATATTTACACAAAGAGATCTGCAATACCCAGTTTCACCAGAAGATGGTAGAAGAGGGTTAAAACATGAAAAAGTGCTATTTTATGTTTTTCTCAGGAATTCACAAAAAAAAAAAAACCCAGGAGTTACATGACATCTGATTTGTACAATTACCAAACTATTTCATTCAAAACTAAAACATAGGGAAATATGGCTGGTTAGTAGTTTGGCTGATTACCTTGCTGAGCAGGAGAAACTGGGGGCAAGAGGAAGCAAAGAACAATCCCCATTTCATTTTCAAACAGTGAGCACCTGTTTAGTACAAATTACTGAGGTCAAGGATTTCATAGATAAGCAAGGTTTACTCCCTGCCTTCCAGAAGTCACAAAAGTAGACTTGAGGACACTATTTGCCTCGCAGTCATCCCATCCTGCAGGTTTTCTCATTAATGGCCCCTGGTTACTATGGAAACAATTCTAGCCATGAGGAACCATGGGCTGAGTGTCAAGCTCCTCTCAGAGTAGCTGAGTTCTTATGTCTCCCTCTGCCTGCTTCCAGACCTATCTGTTTTAGTCCCTGCTGCCCAGGCAACCTTCCTGGATTCCAAACTCTCTGCCTCTATTTACCTCAGAGACTTCATCCTCTGCATTCACTATCCTTGTTGGTTCCTGGCTTTGGATAACGGATGCCTGAAAGTAGACTCTTCATGTCTAGCCTTGGTTAAAAAAAAAAAAAAAATTGGACCCAAAAGCAAATAATCCAAGGAAATTTTAAGTATGTCACCATAGTTTCAAGTCATATTGAATTCCACTATTTCTTTGTGCAAATAAAAATGATACCTAAGACATCTAAGGCTGCGTTTAGCATTTTATGTTCTAGAAGTGATCCACATAGTTTGAAGGAATTCTGCCTTTCTAATTTCACATCTGCTATTCACCTGCTGTGTGAGCATGAAAAGGTTATTGCCCATCTCAGTCTAAGTTTCCTCATCTGTAAAGCCAAATTAAGAATAATATTTAACTTCATAGGTTTGTTGTTAGAGTAAATGAGATAATGAGATGAGTGGCAAATACAGAAAGTATTCAGTCATCAAAAATCAGTGTTCATCTCTGATTAATCAGGTCCAAAGTCCTCTAAGTTTCCTTATTTAAATAAGGTTCCTTATTTGCTTCTGCCACTGGTATTTTTCATTTACTATAGACTTAGATCTATTAATTAAAACTTTTAAACATAAAAGTATAAAATGAAGGCTTCACATTCCACCCTAGACTATCCATTCTTTTTCCCTGAGAGTTAACCACTATCTTTTTTTTTTTTAAAGATTTATTTATTTATGCATACAGAACTAGGGTACAGGCCAGAGGTGCAAGGATGGTGAGAGGATTCACCAGAGACAGAGTTGGGAGCAGAACAGGCAGACTGACAAAGTACACTGCTGAGGGGAGCTGCAGGCGGGTCAGGAGAGGTCTGCCACGCCATGTGAATTATCTCCGGGGCGGAATCAAACTCATGCTGAAGTGGCTTTAGTTTCTTAGTGCTGTGCTTTAACCTGCTGCACCACCAGGGAGGGCCCACCACTATCTTTATGAAATTCTTACAAATTTTTCAAGCTTCTCAATATATTTTTCCCATACAAATGAGCTCATCTATACTCATCTATACTTCATTAAACATAATAAAACATCATGTAACAAAACACATACAACTAGTCTTGCTTTCAATGACTTTGTTCAGGTGTAGGAATGATGTGATATCTCATTGTGATTTTGACTTGCATTTCTTTAATAGTAATACTGAGAATCTTTTCATGTACTTGTGGCCATTTGGAGCTCTTCTTTGGAAGAATTTCTAGTCAAGTTCTTAATAAGTTATTTTTTTTAAGATTTATTTATTTGTACATACAGAACTGGGGTACAGGCCAGAGGCTCAGGGGCAGTGAGAGGCTTCACCAGAGACAGAGTGGGGAGCAGAACAGGCAGATCTACGAAGTACACTGCTGAAGGGAGCAGCGGGTGGGTCAAGAGAGGTCTGCCACATCATGTGGATCTCCTCTGGGGCAGGCGGGGATCGAACTCATGCGGAAGTAGCTTTAGCTTCTCAGTGCTGTGCTTTAACCCGCAGCACCACCAGGGAGGGCCACTAATGTTATTTTTTAATTGAGTTATTAAGTTTTTTTTGTCCCTTACGTGTTTTAGAGATTTGTCTACTGTCAGATTTGCAAATATTTTCTCCCATTCCTTAGGCTGCTTTTTTACTTTGCTAATTGTTTTCTTTGCTGTGCAGGAGATTTTTTAGTCTGAGGTAGTTTCACTTGGCTATTTTTACTTTTGTTGACTTTAAGCTTCTTTATGTATCCCATCACTATTGAGTTCCATAACTATTATTTTCTTTCATGAAATTAACAGACACTTTTTACTACCTTGAACTTACCTAGTGCCTAATAATGCCATGCCCTGGTCTTAAATACAAATCTGTAATTTTCAGGATAAATACCTTTGTTTCCTGCATCTAATATCTGCAGTTGTGTCTGATTCATCATTCCTTCTTATACATGCCCTTTATTCCTATAATCTCATATTTTATGTAATCCACTCCACCCTTAGCAGATTTTCTTCACCTACTATTTCCACATACATAAACATATTTAGTATTTGCTATATCATTCATCTTTTATAGCAGCAATATTAGGAAATAAGTCCAAGTATAGGGGAAATGATAGACAAAAAAATCTTAAAAGTGAAAAATATCTTAAAAGTGAAGGTCAACAACATTTAACAGTAACCACGTGCTCCCACATGCATGACCTTTAGGGTGTCTTCATCGTTAGAAAATGGTCATAGTGGATGAAATTAATGGATATGGCTTTAATTTAGATCAAGTGGCTTTAAAGTTTGTCTGCTCACAAAAGTGCAGAGAGTGGTGATTCTTCTATCCTGAAGTTTTTCTTGTTCCATGTATTCCTTGCTTTGTGATAAGAACATGACTTAGAAGACTGTGCAGATCCAGGACTCTGAGAGTGGGGAGATGCCCTCTTCGTGAGGTTCTGAGAAATGACCCTCTGAAGATTCTTCCTGGAAGAGCCTGCCGCCATGGTCACCACCCAGGGATGATCCAGGGCCTGCTCAGCTGACATGCGGTGACTCGCTTCCAGAATCAGTAGTTTGTCTATAAAGTCCTTTGCCAAATGTGAAATATTTGGCCAAGGCTGAGAAGAAAAATAAAATCAAAACACATAAACACATATAATCTTTTTGTTAACTATCATCAATGCATATCAAATTCAAAATACTTCTCCAAATAAGCAATAAGCAACATCTATATTATATCATTAAATATAGAGTGAGCCTAAAAAATCCACCTTTGAGAAAGAAATAATCTCTGTAGCAGAAGGGAAAAAACACAGAAATTCTCTGTCTAGTGCCTGAGAATTCCTTCCATAAGTCCCTCCAGCATGCTGCTCTCCGCAATGAGAGTTTCCACAGCATAATAACATGAACTGGACGAGACCAAACAGCTGTCTTTGGGGACCTGTGCCAATATCAGATTAGTATTTACTACATTCTAGTCATCTTAGAGCCCTTGCAACTCCAAAGAAGAGCTCGAGTGCAGAGTGAAAAGATCAAGAGTCACCAACTCTCATCTTCCTTTGCAAGCACATCCTAGACTTAGGGCACCTCTGTCTCCACAGCCTGAAAAGAAGTGGGGAACAGAAAAGGCACTTCAGGGAAGAACCCACCCATGGTGCACTTCCTTTAAAAGCATGGGATCCTCACCCTTCACAGTTAGTTCGACTGTAAGTGTAGTTCAGCCTAGAGCAGTACCGTGCCAGGCAGCAGTGCTTGCCGCCGGTTCTCTGAGGTTCGTGGGGTTTGTTCTGACAGTATTTAGAACTTCTGCACCTAATTCAAGTACAGCAGTTTTAATTCAAAGTAACTTTTGTGAAGAAGGCAAATATTTTCTATTCAAACTTGTCTTCTGCATTACCTACTAACACATGACACATCTCTTGGTAAATCTATAGTATTGTATCCCTTACCTACAAAAGTGAAACACTGGTGGCACAGAGGGTTAAAGCAGCAGCACTGCAAGTCAGCC